AGCGATAAAGTTGTTAGGTACGGATGATGACCTAGGAGACAGAAGGGGCAAAATTTATTTAAGGGACGTAAAGCTCCATTTCCTTGGATCAAGTATTCTTCAGGACTATACAGACAGCTGCTAGACGGAAACAAGAAACATGCAATAAAAAGAGGAATAATAGAATCATTTGGTTAGTAGATACATTAGATTAATACTTAAATAATTTAAATTAATAAATTTTATTATCGAAAAGGTTTAATTAAACAATGAAAACATTAGAAATAATTAATTTATAATCGTTAATTGAATCTTTCCCTCACTCAATTATTTCTCCTTCATCTCACTCCCATATTTCATACATCGTTTTATTGTGTTTTTCCTCCCTATTTTCTCTCTCGCCTTCCAGTACTCTGCTTCTTCTCACACATATTCTTTTCCTCTCTTCCTTGTCACTTATTTCTCATCTTCCCTATTTTCATCACTCCCTAGTGAACATCACCTGAGTCTTTCTTCGGTAAAGCGCGACACAAGGCCCCAGGACTTGCTCAGCGAGTGTCAGCAATATCAGATTAAAGTTTGCTTGTTAATAAAAACACCTATTTATTTTACATACTTTTCTTCTTAATATTGCAATATAAATTTAAATATATATATATTATATATATATATATATATATATATTTTATATATATATTTTATATATATATATATATAAATATATATAATATTATATATATATATATATAATATATATAAAATTATATATATATATTATATATATATATATATATATATTATATATATATATATATATATATATTATATAACAAATATATAATATACATATATATATATTATATACTATATATATATATATCTATATATATATTAATATATATATATATATAAATATATATATATATATAATTTTATATATATATAATATTATATATATATATATATAATATATATATTATCATGGATTCTTAAAACTATTTGTGTTAGAGTGATTTATTAAAAAGACATTTTAACAAACGCTAGACATGATTTAACAGAATTTCCGGTTCTAGGAGTGTCGTCTAAATTGCTTGTAGTTAACTCTTACCAAAGTTCATGACATATTGAGCGATGATGTTAGTAGCAGTGACAAGAACCGATTTTAAACAACACCTGAGAAATAGACCAGATTCCCTGATGATAATACTAGCGATCTGAAAGTCTTTGGGAATGGTTTTGAGTGTCACAGAGTGTGGACTGGACACTGTGAAGCAAGAGTTGTTCAAGTCGTTCGTCCAATCTCAGCTCGTTTTAGAGCACCAATCTTATCTAAGGAATACAAACACTTGCCTCAACCTACCCTCCCAGGACGCCAACAACAACAGTTGACTAATCACGAGATAACTAATTACTGCTAGGTAAACAGGATCTGCTTTAGTCTTGTGAGTCAGTCTCCAGCGTCAGCCTCCTGGTCAGACAACAGCATCATTTTTACTATTCAACCCACGGCGTCAGCCTCCAAGTGAGTCCACAACGTCAGCCTCAACGTCAGCCTCAACGTCAGCCCACACCGTCAGCCTATAAGGTGAGTCCTTGCTCGGTCTTATCCGTCAGGCTATAAATCAACGACACCGCGTATTTATCAAGCATCTCTCGACATTTATGTTAGTGTCACTCACGCCCCAACAAACATTACGACACAAAATTAATTCCAACTTTGGCAGTGTGAGCTTTACGGATCAATGGAAGTGCAAGGGTAAAGCAGGTGGCCCCTTGGCTGGGGCTCATGGACCCGGAGGGGGACCCCATGAGCCCTCGGCCAGGGTCTCAGGAACCTACATGGGTCTGCAGAAGACATTCTGCGGATCCAGCAATTTTTTTTTTAATCGAGGTCCTAAGGCAGTGCGTCATTACAAATCATTGTGGAACTTGAAGAGCAGTCACCATCTGGTATGTTTTGGGTATTTAGAATAACTGTTGTTTTTATACATCATTCAGAATAGCTGGGCGCTGCCCACTTGGTATATATATATAGTGCTTGTGGGGGGACAAAACGTACCAACATGGAATCATATCTGATTCAATCTCATTTCACAGGCTCTGTATTATCCATAGCTGTTAGAACTCATAGGGAATATATAAAATAACAATAACAGGTGTACGGGGTGCTCTATCATACAATAAACAACCGTGGTATGAAGACAACAGCTTTCACTTAATAGGAATTATGGACGTTTCACTGTTTATATCAGATTGTTGGGGTTTTTAAGGTAAAAAATAAAATATTGTCTTTTCAACTGATTATCTTTCTTCTATTAATCAAGACTAGTTATTATAATATTGTTTCGCAAGTGTAAATCATCGAAGCTTCGGGGAGAGTTCTTACACAGGATTATGAGCCTCACTTTGGGATAAGACCTCCACAAATTTAGGTCTATTGCTGCTCTGTAGGCCTTCTTCCCCAGACCCAGACTCTCCAGCCTAAGGCAGGGATTTAGGTTTTATTTGGATCCTTTTTGTATCAGCAGGATGTGATTCAGAACAGAAGATAATTATGACATTTACAAAGAAACAATACTGTGTTTGCACTGAGAAATGATATATAGATGACACAAGAGTTTTGGGAACTGAGGAACCAGTTATTAGAACGGCCTTGAAATGTTCATCAGATAAATTTGTGCTAAATTTGACTTGACATTCTTCATTTTTTAAAATATTTGTTCACAAAGGTACGTTGTTCCAAAAACTGATACGAATCCCCAAGCAAATCGCTTCAAATATGGAGGCTCTTCAGGCTCTATAGACTTATAAAATTGAATCAGATTTCCTTCTTTTCTTTCATCATGCCATCTGATTTAAGATGAATAATTTTCATTTAAAACTGACTTGAGAGTGTTTCAACAATGCGGTGAAATGGATTTTGAAACAGCGTTTTTTTTTTCATCCATTTTCCCATCAAGATCAGAAAATCGATTCTGAAATTTATTTTGCAAGTCAATAATGATTTCTATTGCAATCATAAGAACATAAGAACATAAGAACGAAGGAACACTGCAGAAGGCCTACTGGCCCATGCGAGGCAGGTCCAAGTCTCCTACCGGCTTAAGCCAAAGCACCCAACCTAGTCAGGTCAGGTCACATTGACTTAAGGGAGGAACACGGCAACCGACCTTCGAAGAAGGAAATTGTGTTTTAGTTTCTTCATAAAATTTTTTACAACCTGGGAAACAAACCAAGTTAGAAACTTTCACCTGCCATTGTAACAACATCAATTTTGCCCTGAATGCATTGACATGTTGGAATAGATCATAAATCAAATTTATTTCACCTTGCAACTTCAGATTCAATTGATTAATAAAGTCAGTCAGCCTTTGATAAAAATGGTTCTGGTCAATTATTCTTTGTGAGAAACGAATTAATTTCCTTTTTAAGCTGGAAGAACCGTAACAGAACTTTCCACAATAAGCCACCGAACTCCTGTATAATAAGTCAACGAACTCATAATCAGCTTCTTTCATAAACTCAGGAAACTGGCGATGATTAAGCCCGTGAGATCGAATAAAATTTACTGTTGAAACGATAAGTTTCAGAATGCAAGACATATCAAAATGTTTCCCGCACAATACTTGCAGATGGATAACGCATGGCAGAAACATGAGCTTTTGAGAATCAACCTTCATAATCTTTTGTGATTTGCCCAACAAAACCTTTCTTCACCCCAGGCATGTTCTTTCCTCTATTACTTGTCATGCATTGTGGTTTATTCTACTCCAGGTTATATTCTAATAACTTTAATGCAATTCTTTCAAGATGTCTTTTCCGGTTCCTGTGTTGTGTATGCTACGTATTGATACTAATTCTTGTGTGACTTTAAGTTCATTGTCGACGTCACGGATGAATAATGTGAATTGTGATGTGTCACTCACATCGTTCGATTCATAGAGTGCGAGAGCATAAAACTGAAAATTTCGTGCTTTGTCTGCAATTTGATGAAATTTGTTGCTTTCTAAATTCTCACTTCTACGAGCATCAGCATTTGGCACAAGACTGTGAGGACTTTGAACAAATATGCTTTATCTGGGCAACACTCTCCCACTGCTTCTGTTATACACTCTTTAATCAGATCTTGATCGGAGAATGACTTTCCTGTTTCGCTAACACATATGCTACTTTGTTACTGGTCCTGGTTAAAACTTTATTATCAGCTCTCTTCTGCGTAAAAAAAATGGTTGGGAAAGCAATCTGCGTTACATTGATTCAGATTTTTCCGAGCGTTGTGTTCCTGGGAATTAGGAATAACTTGGTTTATGTTTTGTCTCATAGTGACGACATACATTGTACTCCTTCAAAACTGCAACAGTTTTGTGGTATAGGTATACAAGGCTTCATCACCTGCCTGTACAAAGAAGTACTTTACGTCCCATTCTTCATTAAACAGGCGACACTCACTCTGCACTGTTTTTTTCCTGCTTCCATTCATAACTGAAGGGTATATTTGAAAAATCTGAAGATTAGAACTAAAATCTGTACATATTTTGACATAGAAATTTATAAATCTTTCGAGTTTCTGTGGGCCGCATAAAATCTTGTAGAGGGCCGCAGTTTGGAGACCCCTGGCCTAAGCTAATATGTAGCCGATTTAAGCCAATACTCTTCTCACTGTACCATTCACATGATCCTGGGTCACATGACCTTATCTCTGCAAGTGTTCCCCAAGCATCACGTGACTTCTGCTTGTTACCCTCTACTGACCCAACCTGACCTGACCTTGTCTGGCTGTGAGTTGTGATAACAGTTCAAAACTTGATGTAATGTCACAAAGGCTATCAAGGGAATAGTGACTTAAAATATATATAAAAAATATTATCTTACATGACACCGTGACAATATCTCCTGTGGCTACACATTTGAGCGTAAGTGTAACATTGTGAGCACCTCCTATGTGTACACATTGTAGTGTGATCTTTGTATTTTACTTACCACCCGCACCTAAACACTTGTTAGTGTGACTTTGTACTTACCTCCCTTGGCTACACACTTGAGTGTGAGTGTCATTCCCAACACGTAGGGACCAATGGTAGAACTCTTCTCGTTGCCATTTATGTCCAGGATTCTTACACTGTCTGGTGGCACTATGGAAGAAAGTGAGTCAAGGTTATTACACCAATACATGTTGGCACTGAGAAGGCGAAAGAGATATAGGAGATATTAAATAAGGTAAAGGAAATATAGGAAGAGGAAACTTCTGATTTATGTAGGAGAAATGAAGAAGAAAAAGAAGAGGAGTTGACCTGTATCATTGAGCCGTGACTAGTGGGCTCTAGGTGAACGGAACGGACGATGTTTTCCCTAGAGCAGCTGTTCCATCAGGCAAGAGAGATGGAAGAAGCTGGGAGAGAAATTTGACGACTGACTGAGAAAAACAAAAGGATTCAAATCATTTCTCATATGGCAAATTCTCAAGACAACGAAAGAAGCTGCATGGAAGTAGTGGCTGAGACTCCAAGAACTCTCCAAGTTTTCAAGAGCCTATGACTGCTACCAACTTTATCCCAACATTTCCAGACGACACTCCCACCAGGATTTTGTACTACATGATGTATGCCAACATGAAGAACGCCATCTTCCCTGGAACCTTTAACTCCAGTCAATAACATCTTTTCGCCTCAATAACCTGTCCATCTTCAAGTCAGAGAAACATGGACGAACGAATATCTGGGAGCATACAGAGGCGCAGAGAGAGGTTAGATATGTTGAAGTTGAAACCCTGGGTATTTTAAAAACGTAGACAAACGAATGATGAAGCAGGGTTTGATTAGAGAAGGAATTGTCTAGAATGGATCAATAGGCCTACTGCAGTCACCAGAAACACCCTTCTTTTGGAATTAAATTAAAGTTTACTGTTAAGTCTGAACAAAATAACTGATTGATATCTTTAAAAGAGTTAGTTATTTAAAGGAACCAAGAACATAAAGTCGAAGTATATGCAAAACCCAAAAATATGTGTTTTTATGGACACTTATTTATTACATCAAGATACGTTATATGTCCTCCTCAATGTTCGAGAGAGTTCTGAATATTTTTACCCAGAAATAAAAAATTGGAGAAAGTTTTGACCTAAGATTTCAGTAATATGAATACAGCAACAGAACGGTGCAAGAGTCTGATGTCTTGCTTTGTTATATGTGGGAAAAATACCAGATGTGTTTGTTTAAAAAACCACGGAGTGTGTTAGTTTAAGTCCACGGAGTGTGTTAGTTTAACACCACGGAGTGTGTTAGTTTAACATCCACGGTGTGGGTTAGTTTTAATACACACTGTGTGTTAGTTTAATATACACGGTGGGGGTTAGTTTAACATCCACGGAGTGTGTTGTTTAACATCCACGGAGTGTGTTATTTTAACATCCACCGAGTGTGTTAGTTTTAACATCCACGGGGTGGGTACTAGTTTAACATCTAAGGTGTGTGTTAGATTAACATCCACGGTGTTGTGTTGGGTTTAACATCCACGGAGTGTGTTAGTTTAATATCCACGGTTTGTGGTTAGTTTAATAAACGGTGTGGCGGTAGTTTAACATCCACGAGTGTGTTAGTTTAACACCCAAAACGGTGTGTGTTAGTTTAAACACCCAAAAGGTTTGTGTGTTAGATTAACATCCACGGTGTGTGTTAGTTTAACATCCAGGGGAAGTGTGTTAGTTTAACATCCACGGAGTGTGTTATTTTGAAAACATACACGGTGTGGGTTAGCTTAATTTTACACGGTGGTGTGTTAGTTTAATATACACGGTGTGTGTTAGTTTAACTTTCCGAGTGTGTTTAGTTTAACACCCACGGAGTGGTTATTTTTAACATCCAGGGAGTGTTTTAGTTTAAACATCCACGGGGGGTTTGTTAGTTTAACATCCAAGGTGTGTGTTAGCTTAACATCCACGGGTGTGAGTTAGTTTAACATCCACGGAGTTTGTAGTTTAACATCCACGGTGTGGGGTAAGTTTAATATACACGGTTTGCGTTAGTTTAACATCCACGGAGTGTGTTATTTTTAACATCCACGGTGTGTGTTGTTTAACATCCAAGGTGGTGTTAGATTAACATCCACGGTGTGTGTTAGTTTAACATCCACGGAGTGGGGCTAGTTTAACATCCACAGTGTGGTGTTAGTTTAACATCCACGGTGTGTGTTAGTTTAATATACACGGTGTGTGTGATAGTTTAATATACATGGAGTGGTTAGTTTAACGTCCACGGAGTGTGTTAGTTTAATATGAACATCAAAATGGTATAAAATACCGACAGGTTGGTAAGGTAAGACAAAATGGGGAAAAAATAGGCAACTTTATTTCCCGAAACGTTTCCCCCAAAAACAGTGGGGCTTTTCAGTCTTTACGGGAAAGTGGGGGGAAAGGAACCAGAAGAGATGTGAAAAACATGTAATCAGCCCCATCCCCCTTTTAAGTCGCAGAATTTGAGGTTTCAGCCCCCCCTCAGCCTGGGGGAAGTTCATTTTCCCATAGTCGGGAAAACTTCGATTTAAACGATTTCCCAAGGGTGATGGATTTGATTACATCGTTTCCATTCTACTGTTCCTGCCTCTTTCTGTTTTTCGACTTGAAGAAGCCTACTGTGAAAAGGGCAAAACCGTTTGGGAAAAAAAAAGTTTCCCCCCCCCCCCAACGTTCCCCTTTGGGGTTAGTAAAAATATACACGGATTTGTGTTAGTTTAACATCAACAGAGTTTTGTTATTTTAATTTATACAGGGAAGTGTTTTAGTTTAAAAACCCAAAGGGGGTGTTTTTTTAAAAAATCCACGGAGCGTTTTTTAGTTTAAAATAAATGGGGGTGGGGTTAGTTTAAAATACAGGTGGGGTTTTAAGTTTAAAAAAACCACGGTGCGTGTTATTTTAATATAAACGGTGTGTGATATTTTAAATTACAAAACGGAGTGTGTTAAAATTAAATTAAAACCCCGGCGTGCTTTTAGTTTAATATACCGGGGGTTTTATTTTTAACATACAAGAGTGTTTTAAATTTAAAAATAAACACGGTGTGTTTTTATTTTTAATATCACGGTGGTGTTTTTGTTTAATATACCCCGGGTTTTGTTAGTTTAATATTCACGGTTTTGGTGTTCCCTTTAAACAAAACACGGAGGTGGTTATTTTTAAATTATACACGGGTGGGGTTGTTTTTTTTTTTTTCACGGAGTTTTGTTTTTTTTAATTTTTTTACACAGTGGGGGCGTTAGTTCAAAAAAACACGGGGGAATTTTTTTTTTAATATACACAAAGTGTTTTTATTTTAAAACACCCCACGGTATGTATTATTTAAATTTAAAACACGAGTGTTTTTAGTTTAATATCACGGTGTGTTTTTTTAAACATACAGGGGAGGGTGTTATTTTTAATTTACAGGGGTGGTGTTAGTTTAATATACCGGGTGTGTTATTTTTAATTTTAGGGATTTGTGTTATTTTAATTACACTTTTGTGGTTTATTTTTTAAATTTTTTTTTTTACCCCCCGGTTTGTGTTTTTAGTTTAAAAACCACAGGGTGTTGTTATTTTTAATATACACGGAGTGGGGTTACTTTAATAAAAACCGGAGTGTATTGGGTTTTAACTTTCCAAGGGTGAGTTAGGTTAATACCCCAAGGGAAAAAGTTGATATTTTTAATTTTTACACAATGGGGATTTAGTTTTCATCCAGGGTTTGTGTGTTATTTTAAACATTCAAGGCTTTGTTTAGATTAACACCACGGAGGGGTTAGTTTAACATCCACAGTGTTGTTTTTTTTTTAAAACCCACGGTGTGGGTTAAATTTTAATGGTTAAGGGAAGTGTTTTTAGTTTAATTTTCAGGGTGTGTTTTTTTAAAATTTACACGGTTTTTGGTTTGGTTATTTAATAAAAGGGGAGTGTGTTTAGTTTAATTTTGCAGGGGTTGTGTTATTTTAAACACCCCACGGGGTTTGTGTTAGTTTAATTTTACAGGGTTTTGTGTTTTCATTTTTAATTTAACGAAGTGTTTTTGTTTAATATACACGGAAGTGTAATTTTTAATATACAGGTTTTGGTTATTTTTAACATCCACGGGGTTGTGCATTTTTATTATAACGGTTTTGGGGTTATTTTAAAAACCCAAACAGGGTGATTTATTTTAATGTACACGGAGCCCCGTTAGTTTAAAATTTCCACGATGTGAGTTAGTTTTACATCCCCTTTTTGTTTTTGGGTTTTAATATAAAACGGGAGTGTTATTTTAGTTTCCCCACGGAGTGTGTTATTTTAAAACTCCCCCGGTGGGGTTTAGTTTAATATACACGGAAAGTATTATTTTAAACATAACGGTGGGGAAAAATTTTAAACACCCCACAAGGTGTTTTTGGTTTAATACAAAACGGATTTGTGTTTTTTTTTTAAATACCGGAGGCTTTTAGTTTAACACCCAACAGGGTGTTTTAGTCAAAATATACACGGGTGTGATATTTTTTTAATAGGCAGGGTTGTGGTTATTTTTTAAACATCCACGGATGGGGGGGGGGGGGGGGGGGGGGGGGGGGGGGTTGTTTAACTCCACGGAGGTGATATTTTTAACCCAAAAGGTGTGTGTTATTTTAAAAACTCCAGGGTTTTGGGGGTTCTTATTTAACATCCACGGTGTGGGGGTTATTTTAAACTTTACAGGGTTTTGTGGTTATTAATTTCCAGGGAAGTTTTTGAAAAATTTTTACAGGGTTTGTTGATAGTTTTTACCCCGGGAGTGTGTTAATTTAACGTCCAGGGTGAGGGGTTTTTAATTTAAAAATTACACGGTTTTGTGTTAGTTTAACATCCACGGGGTTGGTTTTAGTTTAATATACACGGAGTGTTTTTAGTTTAACCCCCACGGAGTGTGTTAGTTTAATATACACGGAGTGTTTTTAAATTTAAAATTAAAAAGGTGTGCGATAGATAAATTCCCAACGGTGCGTGTTACCCTTACTCCACGGGTTTGTGTTGTTTAAATCCCAAGGGGTGTGTGTTTGTTTAATATACACGGAGTGTGTTATTTAATATAAACGGAGTGGGGTTTAGTTTAATATACCCCCGGGTGTGTGTTATTTTAATTTACAGGGATTTTTGAAAAGT